GCGATGGGGGGTAGGGCACTCTCAAGTGCGACAGGGAGTGGTGGGAGGATGCCAACGGCTCGAAATAGAAAAGGCGTACCCGGAAGGCAATGAGTGTCTCATTTTAGTCATGATGATAGGGTTATTTGGTGAAGAGCCGGCGGGTAGGGTAGAGGGGGCTCGCCGTGTTTCGGTGGCGTCTGAGGGGCGTTGACCTCCGGCCGGCGTCGATCCCTCGTCTATCTGTCCCGACATCGCGGCATCGGCCCAGTGCGCGGGACGGCCCCCATAGCCCTCGATAAACGCGAGCCGAACGCGAGTGTCCCGAGAGGGAGGCCGCAGGGGGCCACCAAGAACACCTGGTGCAGGGGACCCACGTCTAGCTTGAGGTCGGACGTTCCTCTTCACATACGAAATTACTCTGTCCTAGGTACAATTTGTACCTCGGAACTTAGAAATTTGTATCTTGAGGATGTGCACGTGCACACACTGGAAAAACAAAGGTAGGACTTAGTGCCTTTGAAAGGTGCTGAATTTTAATGCCTTTACAAAGTCACGAAATTGTCTAAAGGCACTAAAACTTAGCACCTTTGGGGCACTTTCGTGCCTTTTCCGGGGTACGAAAATATTTTAGTGCCTCGGTAAAGGCACGAAAGTCATTAACACCCCAAGAAGGGTGTTGATTCCTACCTTTGCTTTTCCAGTGCAAGGACACATCCAGCCGCGGTTTTAAGTGCGTCTCACGGAGGGGGCGTTTTACTGTGGGTTGCCTATTTTCACGGGTTTTGTACGACAAAATTCATACCTACCCAAGGGGGTGATTTGGGCTGACCGGAGGGGGGAAGGGGAGAATCGCCCCTCACCTCCCATAAAACCGCGCCTGGACACGGACACATCCAGCCTAGGTACAAAAGTTGCCCTTCTCATTTAGAATGTCGCGCTGACGGCCGAGGGGCGTCGCCGGGAGTCGCTCATGGAAGATGCATACACGTTCCGAACTGGGGCACAACGGCGCGACATGGTTATATCGCAGCCACAGCGGCCGCGGCCCCGGGCTGACCTACTCAACGCGACACCGCAAGCAGGTCGGGCGTGAATTAACAAGGAGCTTCGCAGTGGCCGAAGGCCGGGGGAGGCACCTCCCTGCCTGCCTTCCTCCGCGACTCCTCGGCGAGCACCTTTGCCGCGTCACGAGGTCGCAATCCTCCCCAAACCATTAGGGCGCCAGCTACGGACAATAAAACCTTACGAACGCCACTCTTCATACTAGTATGAACGATTTTGGGATCAGTGCCAGTGCCTTACTGAACGATATCGGTTTTCCCTGCATAACATACAATTCTTTCATAATATGAAATATGAATAAAAACCTTGATAATGACGAACGAGAGGATAACTTATTACGAACAAATCGTGTTCGTAATATGACAGCACATTTGTTCTTCACATTATCAACATTAGCTTCGTGAAGAGTGTTGTTGGCGTTTATGAGAACTGTGTTCGTTGGTATGATTTCGAGAGTGTACGGAAATTTGCTGAGCCATTCGCTTGTAAGCAGTAACGACCCCCAAATGAAGGCGCCGGCTGCGCCTGCAGCGGGGCGGGCTGACATGGCCAGGCGCATTCAGCGGCATTTGTGACAAATCCCCTCCTTCGCTCGCTCATCAGTAGACAACAACAACAACAACCCCCACCTCAATCACTTAATGGCTGTCACGGTGGTTTATTGATCGCCCTGGTGTTGTTGGCGCCGACCTGGGCTGGGCTGGCCCGTGACACATCCACCCGCTGTACCCCCCTCTCCGCCCGCGACGCGTCGTTGCACTACCTGCACGTCCTCATGGCCTCCTTCCGGAGCGTACCCGGGAATGCCGTTTTCACACGTTGAGTCCCACGTGAACACAGGTATGGTCACAATAACACGTGATTACCCCCCCCCCCCCCCCCTTGGACTCAACGTGTTAACAATGCGCTGATGAAACGGCATGCTTGGCCAAGCAGTACGCTGTTTAAACAGTGATAACAACGTGCCTGTTTAGTGGGCATGAAGTGTATGCTCTTCTATCGGCGAAGCGCTCTTCCAGGTGGCAGGCACGCTCTAAATGAGAAAGGAAAATTTTATGTCGAGCGAAGATGCGTCTTTCAGCGGATGAAAATTTGAATATCTCAACTAGAAAAAAAAAGTTATTTGTACGATACAAATTTACATCCGCTTAAAAACACATCTTCTCTGGACACAATGGCCTTTCTCATTAAGAGTGTAAGCTAATTAAACAGTGTGCTAAGCACTGTTGGATTTTGAAAGAAATAACGGAGACCGTTGAGGACTCTTTCAACAAAAAGTTACGAGTTATTTTCGTGCCCCCTTCCATTTTCCCCCTCTTCTCAAGAAAACATGCTTCCTCAACATGGCCACTCGAGCGCCCGCTACACAGGGGATAGGCAACACACCGGCGGGGCAGCTGCGCGGGCGGCCCAGCTAGGCGCGCTCGGGGGCTCGCGGCGGGTGGAGTCCAGCCAGTAGTAGCACAGAGTACAACACTGTTTGTCCAGGCAGTCCAAACACCTACCACGGTACGGCGCGCAGGGAGCACGCGATGGGCGCAGAGCCCTCCTTCCACGGGCCCAGGACATGCCCCAGTTGTTGGACAAGGCTGTCTCACACATTAATTTGTCGGCAAAACAACCAACGAATAAACCTAAAATAATTTCGCCCCAAGGAGTAAATAACTCGTTCTTTAACTTAAAGCATCGCCCTTGCATCATCCTGAAAGTGTCACCGGTCATCTGCCCTTTGCGAAATTGCCTGGTTGCAACGTCTCATAGCGCCTGGTAGGTGGGCAACATCTTGCATGTAGTGCATGCGTGGGTTGCGGGGTTGCCTACCCCGAGTATCACAGGCGCCTAGCTATCGCAAAAACAAATCAATGTTCGGATCACCCGCTGATGCAACTCTAAACATGCGCGACGTGCAATCGAGGATACCACGTAGCGGGCATACCCCACCCCACGGATGCAATTCTCTGAGTGGGGCTCCCGCTCCTCACTGCCCGTCATGCCTGACGCGGGCCAGGGGCCAGGCTGCCGATGCCGGCTTTGAAGCGGGCGGAGTCGCGTGGTTGCTGACCGCAGTATTGGCATTCCCAGGGCCGTCGGGCAGGGGGGTCTGTCCCAGCCCCTGCACACAGCACAGCACCAAGAATATCGTTTCG